TACAATAACTGACAAAATTCAAACACTGATTTCTTACTCACATCTGCACTACAAGCATTCTCTATTTCCAGTACTGAAAATCCCAGAAAACAGCTTTGTCTCATAGTACCCTCCATATTAACGATGAAAATTACAAACACAAAAATGTTTAACCATAATAAAGTATCTCAAACAATTTCATCAAACACAAGCAGTACAAATAAAAACATGGGAAGTCACATAAGGCTTGCTCCACAAAATTCTAAATGTAGTATTAATAACTATACACCTATTTAGCATCTGTGTGAAGCATTATGCTTTAGAGGGAAGGAAGACAGCTTTTGTGAGAAAGACAAAGATTCTAAGAAAATAAATATGTGAGTAATCTAGCAGATACCACTTTCACTGGATAGAAATAACCAAAAAGAAAATACAGCTGAGTATTCCTTATCCAAAATGCTGGAGATCAGAAGTGTTTCCGATTTTGGATTTTTTCAGATTTGGGAATATTTACCCAAACATAATGAGGTACCTGGTAATGGAATCCAAGTCTAAACATGAAATTTATTTATGTTTCAAAAGCACTTTATTTGGGGCCAGCAGCACATATGCGGCACAGCGCCTACCTGGCAAGCGCAAATTCGTGTTTGATTCCTGGTACCACCAAAAAAAAAAAAAAAGAAAAAGAAAACCACTTTATTCACATGGCTGAAGGAAATTTTATAAAGTAGTTTTAGTACACCTGGGTTTTGACTGTGACCAGCTACATGAAGTTTTGTATGGAATTTTCTGTTTCTGGTGTCTTGTCAACACAAAAAAGCTTCAGATTTTAGAATATTTCAAACTTGAGGTTTTTGGATTCAAGATCTTCAATCTACAATAAGGATAAAGACTTTTTACAAAAGTTAAAGTGATTTTAACATGAACATGTAAGAACTGTGACAATGGTCACATTCCCTTCTCTGGTCCATTGAGCCAGTTATCTCCAAATACTACCCAGAAAAGGTTGTTTGGAGGTTTCTTGGTTGGTTGGTTGGTTGATTTTTTGTTTGTGGGAGTTCTGACGAAAAAAAAAGGTGGACAGTTGGTTAACCTGCGACATCCTTAATGATTCAGAATTCATGCATCCACAACATCTTACTAGTGCTTTTAGTAACAAATAGGATATACTTATAGGATTTATAATTTATATGATTTATAAATCTATATGTTCAGTCCATACAATTGGAATTAGCTATTAAACTGTTTTTCTTGCTCCATATTTATACATAAATATGAAATAAAGTATATATTATATATTTATTACATAATAATATATGTGTGTATACACACACATCTTCAAGAACTCTACATGTTTATTTTAGGGCTCTGAAACTGACTACTATAATAAACACTAGGAGGGTTCAAATGATGGCGAACACTAGGAGGTACAGGTAACAATCATTCCTATTTTACAAACAAAACAACACAGAGAAGTTAAACAACATGCTCAAGGCTGCATTCACCGGTAGTGCAGACTTGGAATACCTCTTAATCCTTATGCTGTCTTCCCTGGAGATGCCTACTTTAATATCACTCATGATTTTACAGACCTCAATTACAACTGAATCATCTTCTGTCAGGATCAAAAAGTAAAGTTATTTTAGTTTTTCTTCTGATGCCTAGTCTCCATAATTACTTTAATTCTCTCATTCTACTGCACCTTTTTTTAGAGAAGAGATCTAGTGTAAATGTATCATAATTTTGACAAGTCAAAATTATTTATTATTATGTTTCTAGTATCCAACCAGATGATACTTTATGGCAGCAATGTAATAGTTTTACCATAACTCCTAGGTCTTTAATCCCAGTTATGACCAAGAACTTAGACTCCTACAAGTTTACACTTGATTAGGAAAAAAAAGTTAAGTAAGAGCTCCTAAAGGATTCTATGAAGAGGAAAATATTTCAAAAATATCAATCAGCAAACATTATGCAGAGAACCAAAAACTAGAAGTAATAGGATCAAGAAGACCAGTAGAGAACATTATTGTTCAAATCATGGGTTCAAATGATGGTAACAAACTTTTTCAGAATTATACCAATGGATCCAACTTTATCAAACCACACCTGTTCGAAAACCACATTTTGGATGATAATATACGAACTGCCACAACATTATCAGTAATCCTGACAGAAGACATAATTATATTGCTTAACTGGTAACCAGCAGTAGTACCTTTCAATTAAAACTTGGCAGTTTCAGGAAGCAACCAAAGAATATACCATCAAAGTTCTAACCTTTTTGATGAGCTTAATTTCAGTCCAATTAATAAGTGTCAGCACGCCCTACATTAACAGGCAGATTAAATTAATCTCCCCAGGGGCAGGCTAATTCAGGGGTTAGCACCCTTACAATCTGTGTGAACAGCTGGGTGCAGGTGTTCACAAAACCAACTGGAGAGTTCACTCTTCACCCACCTACTAACCAATATGGCAAGGCCTTTGCAAGCTACTGTTTTATGTTTTGGTTTGTTTTTTTTAGCGCAATGTGTATAAGGGACACTGATATGTAAAGCAGTTAACACTGTAGGTTGAAAAATAATTTGTTCTTTTCCATAGTAAGTAGGTTACCAACATCATTCATCACTGAAAGCTAGTCACAAGTCACAGAAACTACTATACTGCAAGTCTAATAGCATGCTACACGCACCCTACTCTTTCAGAATGTAATCTTAGAAAGAAATGAAAAATGGGCATTAACAATCCTGCATAGTAACTCACATTTTGTAGTCAATAAACTAGACAACACTTTTTTTAGGTCTGCACTAAACACAAGTGGCACAAATCTATTGGTGTTTTTTCCATTTTTGCATAAATAATGCTATAGTATCTAATAAAAAGATGTTCAAAGAGTAATTACCACTACACTAGTTTGTGATTTGCCGTAATATAAATTTGTTTAGAAAATTTCTTTTACATTGTTCAGACTTTTCAACCATAAAGCATATATGGAGTCTGTATGAAGAATTTAACATTTAAACATTTACGACATTCAAGAAGCTGTGATCACAAGTTGAAATGCTCACTACAGCGACTTTTTTTAGCAATTTTTTTTGTGGTGCTGGGACACAACATGCCTCACGCAGGCTCGACAAACACTCCACATTGAGTTATATCCCTAGCCCAAGGTCCTAGTTTTATTTTTTTAGACACAGGGTCTCACAACATTGCTCTGGCTGGCCTCCAACTGGGCTCAAGCGATCCCTGGTCTCCGTCTCCATAGAAGTCAGGGCTACAGACAAGCACCACCTGGCTTGACTTAGAGCAAGGGAAAAAAAGCTTTGTAATAACCAAAAGTTAAATTGAACAAATACGTCATCCTAAAACCAAACAAACCATATCCCAGGAGAATTGCACAGGGAATGAAATTCAAAGTCTAAGACAGTCAACTGAGAACAGATCCATTCCTCAAGGAGTTCAATCCCAGACATATAATATTCCTGTCAAATGTAATTGCCTACAAGATATTAGCAGACAGTTCACAGGTGATGCCTAATTACAAAGAAAACAAAATGTGCTGTAAATGAAAGACTTCACAAAAATAAACAATTATGATTATCACTAAATGCAACAAATGATCCCAGAAAAAGTAACCTTTTTTAACCAGGATAACTTTCATAGCATTACATTAAATGCTGAATGATACAGAAATACAAAACAAGATGATCACCTTAATATTTTTAATAACCGAGTTTTCCACTTTATCATTAGAGATTTGAATTTACTAAAACTATTTGTCCACCTATTTGAGCGCCCATGAAACGTATGTTCAGAGCTTGGAAACATAGTTCACTTGCACAGTGCCTGCCCAAAGGTACCGGAAGTCTTACTGGTCTCCTAGTATGGGGCTCATATTTGCATGCTACGTTAGAAGTAATCACATATTATACATTTGTATATTTACACACACAAATATTTTCCAAGTACGATTTCAGAAGAAACTTTTCCTACATTATTCCAATGGCTAAATGGCTGAGAACTGGCTCCAATACTCAGATACATTCCCTAAAAACTGCCTCAACCAGTCCATAAACACGGCCCTCCAAACCACCGAATATAACGTTTATACTCTTTTCTATAAATGGAACTGTTTATAAAAAAAGTTTAGTACATTTGTTTATAATTCCACTGAGATTAACAGCCAGTTTTCTGAGCTTACTGTCTTTTACAAACTAAAAACATGAACAGCATGACCACAGGATTGCAATATTACATTAAAGTGAAAAACCTTAAGGCATTTAAGGTTTCTCAACCCTGGCCCTGGTGACGTTTAACACCAGATAATTCTTTATTGCCAGCGTGTCCTGTGTATCACAGAATAGGACCATCTCTGACCTCTAACCACTAGGTGCCACCTCCCCTGGGGCGAGAACCAAAAAAAGTCTCCAGACATTGCCAAATGTTCCCGTGGGGCCAATGGTGGTCTAGGAGTGTAACTAACTTAGTACAGTGTTTCCGTTGTCAAAAGAGAGTATGTTCTGCAACACCAAGAAGTTTCAAAAAAACTTCAGGCGCTCCAAATGCCTACTTTATATGAAACTTTCCAGGATCCCACAAAGTAATTGAAACCTTTCTCCTACAGATAGCTGATTCTCCCACATGTCCATGATTAAACACTCTGCTTGCTGATGATGAATCTGGGACAGGCAGGGACAGGAGCCAACGATGACTAGTTTTATAGTGTCAATGCACTACACCTTTTTTTAACCCTTCAGTGGACTGCCCATTCCTGCCTGAGCAACCATTTTTCTGCAAACCATTTTCCCCGACGCCTCTAAGATGCTCTTACCGTTCAGACCCTAAGCCTCGCATAGCACTGGGGTCAGCTCTCACCCAAGGGTTGCAGGCACGTTGCACTACCCAGGCCAGCCGATCCTCGCCGCATTCCCGCGGGCCCTGCTCTGATCTTGGGATCCCCAGTCCGGTCCGCGCTTGACCCCTGAACCCGGCCTGACCCCGCCGCCCCCCCACCCCGGTACCTGAAGTAGTAGACATCGCTCTTGCCGGCACTGAGCCCAGATTTTCGGATCACTTCCTCCTTCTTCCATCCGGGGGGGAGGGCCGGGCAGTCCATCCTCTTCCCGCTCTCCGTGGCCCGGGGTCCCCTGGGCCCCGGCCCCGCGCTCCCCGACGGGAAAGGGACCGGCTCCCGCCGGGGGGCGCCGCCGCCACCGCTGCCG